TGAAAGGACCTTTGAAGCTAAGATCACATCCAGTGAAAGGACCTTTGAAGCTAAGATCACATCCACTGAAAGGACCTTTGAAGCTAAGATCACATCCAGTGAAAGGACCTCTGAAGCTAAGATCACATCCAATGAAAGGACCTTTGAAGCTAAGATAACATCCAGTGAAAGGAATGAATTCTTTTACTAACCCAGTTTCATCCCACTTCACTGGTTTGGATATTTAAAAAAAACTATATTTGAAGAATATAGTCAATAATCGAGAGATCGAGAACTTCAGAAAGGTTAGCGAAAAAGAGATAACCATTTGGACATATTTCTAAACGAATTTATATCGCTTATTTTGGCATGTATCTTGAAATAAATATAACCATTTCATCAACTTTTTAGTTAAATTTAAGGTGTTGTCCCTCAGTGTAATTTTAGATGGAGCCTATTAAAACTTAGTGACGTTAGTAACGCATAGCTGTCAGTTTCTCCTGTTGCAAAACCGCATRTGTATAGTTTTACTAATCGAGTGTCATTCCACTTCACCTGAATGAACCCTTTGACAATACATTCAGTACTAGTTCTGCATAAAGTAAATAGTTGATTGGTAAAATATTTCTTGATTTGAATGATGCGTCTCTGTTAATAATGATGACGTCAAGTAAGGTATTTGAGTGTTTTTGTTGAAACTAGTAATACTAAATGCTGGCCATTTTGAAAATAAAAATTTTTAAATAGCTTTCATGTAAACCATGAGTAAAATAATGATGCTTTTTAAATACTGTTTCTATGAACCAGTTCGATTTTGTATATTTAATTAAGCCTCAATAGACGTCACACTCATTAGCATATTGGAAGTATAAACCTTCATAACTTAGAAACACATCACTCAAATCAAGAAATATTTTACTATTAAACTATTTACTTCATGTAGAATCAGTACTGAAAGTATTTTCGAAGGGTTCATGTGCACTTTACAAGATTTACAAAAGCGGTACATTAAAAAAAACAAACAAAGAAACAAAAAAACCACACACACACACATTTAAAAGGTGTACACTTTTAAATAAATTTTGATGTGAGAAAAAAAGTGTTCGCAAGTTCTGAAAGAAAAATACATCTAAACTGTTCCAAAGACCCGCTCCTCCCAAATAGTGGTACATAACAAAGTTTAGGTGTTAAATAAGCCAGCACACCAGCACATTGGGCAACCTAGTGCACGCTCCAAGAGCGCCTTGTTGCATTTTTTTGCATAATTTTGGAATAGAATAGTTATTTATAATGAAATAAAAATTATAGGATAAAAGCTGCAAATTCGACATTAAAAAACGTCTACGTTCCGTACGATCCAACCAACCGAAGTCCAGTCCATTCCATCTATGTACGGTTCCCGATTTTCCAAAATTAAAAAAACACTCAAAATTCGGGCATTTAGAAGAGGAAAACGAGTTTTAGAAGTTGGGCATGTTTATGCTATACATTATGATTATCCATGGCCTTTTAAAAGGTGAAAATTCAAAACTTGTTTTTTGTGATTCAAAGATCCAGTCACTGACTGAGGCTCAATCCATTTCAGTCACAACCAATCCATTCCAGTCACATCCAAATACCATCCAATTTATCTAGTATTAGTATCTGCAGTGCCACGATCCAAAACCTTTTTTTAAAATTGCATTTTTTGTTGTTGCAATATTTCGGAAAAGAATCACTCGTTATCTATAATAAAAATAAAAACATAGGATAAAAGCTGCGAATTCGTACACCCAAGGGCAGAAGGATTTAATCGCCGTCAGGTCCGAAGTTCATACGCCGCCTCAGCTCAGAGGATGTCTCGGGGGGTATGGCAAAAAGTATGTGCCTAGTCTGAGTACTGGACTCCGAGTACTGGACTCCGAGTACTGGAAAGTCGGACGCGGAGAAAAGAATTTTTCAGCCTTTTTGAGCGAACAGAAAGTGAGGCCAGGACTAGATTAGTCTGTACATTGATATTTTCATGGTCAGACAGGATCT